AGGGTTAATTTATGGCATGCCTGGCAGAAAGTTTGGACCTCAACGACCTAACTAGATAAATCCAAGGATTCTAAATAGGAATCTATAGTGTTAAAAACATTCTGTTGTGATCTTTCTGAGTTCTCTGCAATGAAATAATTGCTCTATTATTTTTCTATAGTCAAGAAATGAGTGACTCTAAAAAGCTAGAGAACCACTGGTCTAGATGGTTAAGGAAAAGGAGACAGATGTTTCATGAGAAAAAACAAGTGCCTACAGTTCTACATAAGTAAACAACTGTAAAAAATTACACTACATCAAACTCCAACACCTAAAAACTTTTTTGAATGTCAACAAGACTCACATACTAGGAACATCTCACTTAGTTTTTTAAAAACATGACAGAAAGCTTACTCATTTGCTTGCAGTTTTGCAGCACAAACATAGCAGCTTTGCTTAGTTCTTCATCCTGAGGCTCAGTTAATACCTGAATCATAAGTGGAAGGCCACTGTTCTTCAGTAGATCATACTGATTTTCTTCTAAAAAGAAGAATAATGGAAAATAAAGCAATCCTAATTTGTACATAGTTGACAGTTCTTTTACAGTATCTTAAGATGACCCTATAATTGTATCTTGGGCTCTGTTCATTAAAGCCTTATCTAGGTAAATTCCATGTAATGTATGCATTACTTTATATGCATATCCACAATCAAAAGCCTTATTTTAAAAAGGTTAGCATCACTTTAGTGAAAACTTTTATATTTATTAAATGAGGCTACGATACCTTCTGAAACCTTTCTTTATAATGTATTAATTCTGGTTGGCATTTAGTAGGTATTAGGTACTGATTACAATGGAAATAGCTGTCATGGATTCCTCTTGCTTCCAGAGACTCCAAAAGATACCCCCCCAAGGCAAGCAACAATGGTAGGTCATTAAAATTTGATGATCACCTACACAGAAAATTTAACATTTTTTCTAAGCTTTGATATTAAATTAAATTATTTAGAACTTTGCCCTGAAGCACTAATGAAAATACAGTTTTAATGAAAACTGTAAACACAGAAGGAATTAGACCCATAAACCAAAATTAATAAAGAAATTCAAAATCTTACCACAAACTTCTGTACAATGTCCAATAGCAAGAATAAGACTAAGTTTTTCTCCTGAATCAAGAGTGTCATAAGTCAGCAACCTCAGTAGCTTTGGCACAATGTGATACTTTGACAGTACGGCACCTATGGCAGCTATTATAAAATGATTAAATCAAACTGTAAGTCCACAGCACAAATGCAACATGACATTTTCTTCTTCAGGGTGTCCTCCATGAGGCTGCCCCAATTTCTTCATGCTACACCAAAATTTAAAATCAGCATCCTGTTCTTAAAGTATGCTAGTCCAGTCTACATTTCTCCCTAGACCCAACAACTCCCTATTCTCCTTGGTCACAAGGGAAAACACAAAGAACCTGGAAAAATTAGTGCCTTTAATGCACACACACCCCTGAAAGTTTCCCCAAATTCTTTACCAGTTTGAGGACAAATCTGGGGAGGACAGGAGATGTGATGCTGAGGTTTATCTACTGTAAAAGTCTCCCAGAGAACAGCTGGGAACTCTCTAATAAAGTAGTCATTTTCCTTCCAAGACTACAGCAACTAAGTTTGCTTGAATATATATACGTGTTGAAAATCAAACTTTGTCACAATCCCAAGTCTTCTGAAATCCAAGCTCTGAGTCAGTGAAGGCTCACACTCTAACTTTTTGCTGTTTCAGTGGGTTAGCAGCGAGGGAACACCAAGATGTAAAACTACAGTTTGCACCTACGCAACCTTGCACCCTTTTAATATCCGGACCAAAACTGTTTGTCCATTCACTCACAGTTATCAGCAATGCAGGCATCCAGAGTCTTCGTCACTACTACTGCAAGTTTTGTGCTGGCGTAGTTTCTAAATGAGTCATCTACCAGCTTGACAAGAACTTTAGCTAAAATATCTAATCCACCAATGGAAACAAAATATTTCTGTACGTGCGCTTAATAAGAAAAGAATAAAAATTGCATTACAACATTTACATGTCATCTTGCTGTAAAACCATATTAATCAAGCAACTTTATCACAATTTTCTGTGGACATGTTATTTTGCTTCCATATCCATCCACAAAACATAGCTGAAGTTGGATATCCAATATATTTGAGAGAAATGGGAAATTCAGATGTGCATTTTTATAGGATATTTATAAGAAATATGCAGGCAGCATGTACCCATGTAAACAGGAACAGTGTATTTGTATTCTTGAAGTCATTTTTTTTTTGTTTTTGCCATGATTTTCCATGTTGTGGTGGTAATACCCTTATATTTAAAGTGGCTTTAATCAAAACAGCTCCCAAATTATTTTATAGACTTTAGTGATTTGAAGCTGGTAGAACTATTTGTGATGTAAAGTACTACTCAACATCATATATCCGAATCTGACCTTAAAGTAAATGTCATCTATTTACACAGGAATAGTAACAGATATAAAGAGGTTGAGGGGCATTTGCCAAATTGAAGCAAAACACAGAGGGACAATCTTTTCAGAAAAAACCCTCATGTCAAAAATACTTTAAAATATAAACTATAAACACTTTTTTTCATGAAAATAGTTTAAAAATTAACACGATGAAAAGGTTTCTCAAAATGACTGAAGTAAATCAATATTTACAAACAGCCTGATTCACCATTGTCCTGCACCTTGTACAGTCGCCTTCAGTAGATGTTGAACACCAAACTGATCTGGTTGTACTTTTACACCCACATTGATCTAACCACTGAACATGACTAAATAGGGCAAATGACAAGAGTACCTCATATCCAAAGTTTTTAATTGGATTTACTGTTTTTAAGACTAGGACTTGTAGTAGCCATCTTACCAATACTTCCAGGGAAACTTTGGAAAGGACTATGTTTACATGTGCAGACCCTCTCACAAGCCATAAGCCTTATTGCTAAAGCATTCATCCTGAAATGGAACAAAGCACTCTACCACAGCAAAGAGCTCCATTGGAGCTGATCTGCCAGTGCCTGCATCATCTTTTCTTGGAAATTCTGAAGGGATCACTAGAGAAAAATGGCACGCCCACTTTTGTCTCCTGCCCTTCCAGCCTCTTTTTACAGGGCACACCCTGGTTCAGCAGCAAGTGTCTTCATGGGGTTTAGAGGAGTGGGGCCAGTGACAAGTCACTGACCACCTTCAAAATAGGTGGAAGATCAGCAAATAAATCTACTGGGAAAGGAGAAAGATGAGGAAATTAAACGTTTTATTAGTGTTCTATGAAACGTACTGCTATGAAATATAAATTATTTTCAAGATGACATGCACTTACAATTATTTGCAACTGTGAGTCCAACAAATGAACAAATAGGACGAACTATCTCTGGCTCTATGCATCTATCTAGCCACTGTTTTGTATGAGGGAAAAGTGAACTGCAAATTTTCTGATTCTCTTCTGTAAACCAAACAAAAACACCTCAATGCAATATGTGGTTTGAGATGACAATCAACTAAAAGGTACTTTACAAATATCCTTTTTACATGTACTGCTGTGTGAAAAAATAAGATAAAAACATAGTTACCATTTTGAGGATTATTAACGCATGCACATAGAGTACTGCAGACTGAAGACCACAGTTGATAATATTGATTAATATTTTCATCTGACAGATTTATCTCAGATATTGAAAGAGCTGTTCTGTTAAGAAAAAGCCAAATGTATTGACAAAGAAATCCTGTGCTAAATAGCCAGTATAGTAACAACAGCCTTGCTTATTTACCTGAATAACTGTAGCAGAACACCAATGCAGCCTGTTTCTCTGACGTGAGTTTGCCCACTCTCTATAAATGATCATATACCAGTATCAGAAAAAATATTTTATATATTTTGTGTGTGTACACACACACACACACACACACACACACACACACACACACACAAATGAAGACGAAGGTACATAAAACATATTAGCTATATAGTAAAAATTTCTAACTATATTTTTCTTACTACTACTGTACAATACAAGAGATTTTAAATTAAACTAGAGGTTTGCCTAGAGCTCAACAGAACAGAATTTATTGGGACTTTTGGGTACTATAACCATACAAATAATAATCAATACTAAGGTTCTAGTGTTGCTTCTAAGTTTCACTGTGAACTACGAGAAACTTTCTTTTTGTATTGTTTCATTAACAAATGCACCTGTTTCTGAACATAAATATGTTCCCCAAAGTACATTTTGCTATTTTTAATAATGAATGGTATATTTACAATATTAGTATGTAACCTCAAGTTCATTTATATATCAGAATTAATCTTTATATATCAAGCTATAATGGTAGGGGCTGACCAACAATAATGTGTTGAAATGAGTTGCACACAATGTTATTACTTGGTATTTTTATGAATAAAAGAAAAAACACTTACTATTATTTGAAACCAATACTAAAACAACATATACAGACATTCTTTTCAAGTTTACACTGGAATCCTTATTCATTAAGAACAAAACGAGATCTTCAAACAATCCAGAAGCACACATATTTTGTTGACAGTAAACTGAAACCAGGAAATATATTGTATTAATTGTTAAAGTGTACAAACCGTAGAGGTATGAAACAATTCTATCTATAGTACACGTACTGACTTTACTACAAGACTGACGAGAAAAAGTGATGAAAGCACTGATACTTAATATCAAAGATATTTAAAAACCTTTTATCAGCACTTACTTGTAAGGAGAATTTCCTTTCCTCTCCTCCTCTAACTTATCTAGGAATAGGACCCAGGCTGAAAAGTCACAGCTGTGCTTGACAACAGCCTTTCTACTAAGCAGCAAGATGATAAATGCACTGACTACAATTTGGCCATTTTATGAAACAAAGTCTTAAACTCTCCATGCAAACTTCTCTCTCATTGCCCTAATTCAGAGGTTCTGGGAGTCTGTAATTTCCCACTAACATGATAAAGTAAACTGCAAACCACGGACTAGAGTCTCAGTTAAACCCAAAATGTGTTGAACAAGGTCAGGAGAGGGGGCTGCAAAGTGTCTGACTGTTGCTACATGATTCTGGGCCTGGTTCTAGGCCATCATGTCCAAAGACATAATATGCAATCTTATAGTAATTATGCCAATATGGCACTGAACAAGAGCAGGACTCAGGTACAGCAATTACTTTGCCATGCCTTCTACACTAGTGTCTATCCCTTGTGACATACAGCAACAAAGCCACCCAAGGATTTTCCCAACCCTGATGAATTTTTAAATGATGAGCTGAACCGTTTTTATGGCTGTCCTGTGCTTCCACAGTGGAACAAAATGGCAATGGAGGAATGAGGAATCTGACCCTAACAGTATTAAGTTGATCTGTATTGTGGCCTGATAAATCCATCTATAACTACATTCAACTATTTGATGATGAGATAAATATAAGTATAGAGTAAAATATGATACAATGCTTAGAAATACAAATAACAACTATATATTACCATTATTTTCAATTATAACTCCTAATGTAAATAAGGCGGCTTCCTTTACCATACAATGCACGCTTGACTTTACAAGGTCAGTTATGAATGTCAAACCACCAATCTCTCGCAAATAATTACTTGCATCACCTGTAGTAAATGCAGACATTATACAAAGTGGTAAATATATCTTATGTACTCAAGTGACAATCCAAAAACAATCAGTGCAGTATGGAATATATATTGTGTACAAGACATGTCATCTTCTACATTTTTAAGGCTTCGAGATATACCTATTTTAAAAAGTGATAAAGTGTAATATGTACTATGAAAATAAATAATGTTAGTTCAATATTCAGAACCCCAGAGAGAAATCTAATCCCCCAATTAAAATTTTGGGATAGAATATCTCTTACTGTTTTGTTGACAGATTGAATAAATAGTGACCAAGGCCTCTTTTTGAGAAGTAGGGCTGTCCATTTGATATTTAAGACATTCAAGAAGCAAATTCAGATCTGTCTTCATCTCTATGAGAATAAAACAAGATGAATTTCACAGAAATGTAGCTCTTCCTTTATAATTTTTTTTTGTTGGTTACTCTTTTTCTTAAGGATGTTGAAAAAAATCATGGTACTATGTTTTAAAAGAAAAGCAGAGTAACGCAAGACTGAACTTTTTTTCCCTCCCCATCTAGCAATCAAGTTGTGAAGAGTCTCAAAATGCTTCTACAAAGTTTCTGTAACAATCTGGTGATTTTTTTTTTAAATGGATGAAGCCAACTCTTTTTTTTTTTTTTTTTTTTTTAAATTTTTCCTT